GAGTTTTCAATTATCCTGAATTAAATATAATATTATAAAGGTGAATAAACAGAAGAGGAGAAGTTTCTGAATGCTAATATTGTAATTCTGGCCAAGTCATGTATCTTTGTCTTATCTGTGAATTAATCATTGAATGATTCGATTCTTTCATAGGACTTTCACTATTGGAGGGTAATTCGATTGTGGAAGCAATCGCTGAATATCGAAGAAAATTCATTCGAATATTTTTGGTTTGTTATGCTAATTTCTAATTATAAACGTTTTCTGTTTCAACGTTTAATAAAAATTACTGTATATATTTAGAAAAGTTGTTAAAAATGTTTAGAAAGTGAAAAGAATATGATAAGTTAAGTTAATTTTTTATCTTTTGAAGTTAATTTAAATTAAAAATATTCTCTATTTTGGCTAATATTTATTATGCAATCGCTTGAATGATAATAATTATGATGAAATTATCAACAACTACATGTAATAAAATTATCAAATTATTTTATTATAAACTATTAATAACTGACAATTCATTATATAAGCATTAATTAATAATATATTAAATGCTTTTAATTATTACGAAAAAGAAAGACATTTTATTTTTATCAGTGAATAAAGTTTGCAATAAAATTTAGTACAATGAATTAAGTTTAATTTCAGTTAGATATTTGTGTTTGGCCACCTACGCAACTAATTAATTTTTGGTTCCTACCATTGAAATTTCGAGTAATTTACGTAAATTGCGTACAATTATTCTACAGTTGTTGCTTATCGTACATAAAGCATAATGAAAGTGACAGTTCAGAAAGTATTAATTCCATCTAATTAAGTTAGAAAATTATTTTAATTCCATCTTATTAATGTTATGAAATGATTGATTCAAATGATTTGATATAATTTTCATTGTTTATAATCGTTCGGTAAGTTAAAACAATTTTAAGTTTTTGTTTGAAATTTAATTTTTCTTTGCCAAAAAACAAAAACATTAAGAAAAATAAAAAGTTAGAGAAAGAAACGAATTTTTTTTTGAAATATTTTTAAAAGAAATTTTTTCTTAATTTCATTTAATAATCACAAATTGTTTTAAAAATGTTTAAATAACATAATTAACAGCCATTTTTGTTTCTTTGAAAATTGATTAATAGTTTTACTATAACTGTTATTAATATTAAAATTTCTTTGATAACATAGAAAAAATTCAATTTTCTTCGCCAAGTTCTTAATGAAATGTGAGCAGCGAATATTCTTATCACATATTACTGTTATTTTCATTTTTCATTGTTAAAAATAATCAGTGTAATTAGTTTATTCTTAATCTTTTATCACACATATTTATTTCTTCAACTTTATTAATGATATTTGTGTTATCACTAATATTGTCATTATTATTACCAACCGCACTCGTTGTATTGTTTTTGCTATGATTAGCTTCGTAAAAATTTAAATGAGTTATTTCCGAAATTTCAATTATTTTAAATTTTTGTGCCATTGATAAATAAAATATACCTGAATGTGCATATTTCGCTCGCAGTTATCGTTCCTTTACCAATATTTAAATCTCAGAAGTTCCATGTATTGTTGGCGACGAAAATAATTTCTGCACAAATCATCAAATATCAATGTGACATATTCCTACTGTCTAATAAACCTTGAATGCAATATACTTGTCAACGTGACATAGGTAAATTATGATAGAAAAAAGTGCGTGCCTACGAGATGTTTGCCATTTTCGGTTTTATTAAAAATTCAATTTTCGCTGAAGAAAGAGAGAGGAAAAGTTTTAATCCAAATATTTTCTTCTGCTTAAGATAAGATGCAAAATTTTAAAAAGTAAATAGTAAAATAGTCTCATACAGTTTTCCAAGATTCTTCTTTCGGAAGTCAAATTTAAAATAATTTGAATATTGTCTGATTTCTTATGATACGCTGTATTTATTAATAAAATTTATTATATATCTTTTCAATTAACGCACATTTTCCACAATATAATTCGAAATCATCAAAGCAATTGTACAAATTGCAAGAATAATTTTGATTCATCGTAATTCAAATATTGCCAAAATGATTATGGCCGATAAAAATTGACACTATCGATCAGTCAATATCCTACATTTCTCTATATACATGTATGTGTAATTTTTGCCAATTTATCTCCCTTTAATATTTTACCTGCTAGTTTGCAAAACCGATAATGGTGTGTATAGTATCATCGATAATTATTATTACTACATCCGGTAATTATCGACCATTAAATATCATTTCCGGATATACTGAATATCTGACAAGATCGACATACATTTGCTAGTTATCGGCATTTTTCCATACCACATCAACTGTTTTGGATAAACTAAATTCAATCATTTTCATTTATTACACCTACCAATAGCGCTAGAAAGATACCTATTCGATATAACTTTTCTTTTTAAACTCTAACTTTGGATAGATAATTTCTGGATTGCTTCTTATAATAAGAAAAACTATTGTTTTCGAAATTTAAAGAATCAAATTTTGTTTATAATTTCATTTTCAGAATAAATCGTTGCATTTCTCAATGCAAAAAATAAACATTCTTTTCTATCTGTCATTTCTTTATTTGAACGTTTATTTAAAGATTTGTTAATTACAAAAAAAGTTTTGATAAATTTAGAAAATTTGTTATTGTAAACAATTATTTATATTATAATCAATGAAGAACGTTATATTTCATTTATTTATTTATTTCTCTTACTAATAATTAATATTATTGACAATTTAATTTTTCATAAAAATTGAAATGATATTTTTGATAGAAATGGTCGATGATAAATTGATTATTCTTATACCAGACGTCATATTCCATCCATTCAAACATATCGATGATAATCAGTGAGTTTTTTCCGATCTTTTACTTAGTTTGTTGAATTATCAATAAGATGTAAAAATTACATTTATTTTGATAATTTGTAAGCTTTCAGGACATTGGAATTTGAACATCGAGATAAGGCTAACTTTTTAATTAACCTAATTTTGTTATTATTTTATCTTACAACGATACTGTTAAATAGCTATTTATTATATTTGAACATCAAATGTGTAGACTGTCGTAGATACAAAAGGTATGAACATTACTATGCAATTAATATCACATTTTAAAATTAAATTTTAATAAATGAAAAAAACTCGAGATGATATTGTTTTTACTAATTTCTCTAAATTTAATTTCTTTTTTTGACTACTCATATTTCAATTTATTCAATAATACTTTACCAATATTGTATTTACAAATTTTATTTCATTAATTCTTGGATAATTTTAGATGATACTAAATAGTTGTAAGGAAAGAAATGGAAATGGTATTCAACAATGAATACGAATTGATAATATTTTTAATTTAATTTCTCTTCATTTTAAAAATTAATACAGATTACCGTTATTGATTATCAATTTTGCTATCTCCAATATTATTCTTGCAACCGGTTTTCTATCCTATACATTTATCATTGATATTTTTTATCATGCAGAAATTGCTGTTGATAACAATATGGAAAATACAACTGGTCTGACATATATTGCTATTTTAAAGGTTTTTATTTTTTTACATTTTATTGTTTTAATTTTTGATTTTAAAAAAGCTAACTTAAATTAAAATCTCATGCCATATAATAAATTCAAACATTGCTATTAAAATATGATATTTAAAATGAAAAGCTATCACAAATAAATTTTAAAATGTTTCAGGTAATGCATTTATTGAAAATATATCATTGCCATTTAATAATTTCACTAATTTTTCATTCTGAACATTTTTCTTTTGCAACAATTCTTATTTTGCCGAAGAAGTAATTAATTAAATGATTAAATTAATTAATCAAATAATTAAAATAAATAAGTAATTAATCAAATAATTAAATGATTCATTGTAGCATAATTATAGTAAAATAATTTGATTAATTAAAGCCAATTTTGTTTATTTCAAATAATTTCACCTATGCAAATTTATCAGTTAATCATTTAGGAATTACTCAAATATCAAATAGTACACAATTTCGGTAATATCCAAGTGTTGTTCCTACTTTATCTCGCAACTGATTCATACTTTTCATTATTTATTGAATACAATCCTAATCATAATTCATTTATTCTTGCTATGACACTTTTATCATTACCATATATCATTTCCATAATATTTATTGATATCCGATTCCTTCAGTTATTAATTACTGCTACTTCCGCTATTGTTGTTTAGTAAGTTCTAATCTTTTTTTCTTATTTTTTGAAATTAATATTTAAGAAATTATGATTTCAAATGGTTATGGACAACTAAAGTTATTTTAAATTTTAGTCAATTATTTTTTATTTTTTGATTCAAAATATAATTTCCATTTCTTATATTTTCAGTTTATTAATTCTGATATTGATGCCATCATTATCTTTTTTGTTAATGATATGTGTCATAATACGGCAATATCAAATTAAATCACCATTTTGTATGCGCGATCGATCATTAATCGCTGCACTGTTGATAATTACTTCTGTGGAACTATTCGAAAAATGGGGATTAGCTATGGAACTTCTCGAAGCAAACTTTCATATCGTTATTGTTATTGGTAATATTGAGGATGACTATCATTTACGAGCCTTTTTTATGAATTGGTATAAGGTATGGTGAAATATTATCATGATTATATATATGTATATATATGTAAATATATATATAAACATCATAAAGTAAAAAGTTCCATCATGAAAATCTTTTCAAAATTACCGGCTAGATTTTAATAAATTGTATTTTATATATATAAATATATACATTGTATATATATATATATAATTTTTTTTATATTGATAAAGCACTCTTATCTCTTTCATATCATTTCTCCATTATACCAAACATATCAAATTATGGTTATGAAAAATTTGAAAAAAAAACATTGGATTTTAGATAGCACACGGATTAATCTTATTAATGCCTTTTCTATCTGCTTTAATTCTCGTCCTAATTATGAGAAGTTATCGACAACAAGCTAATGAACATTTCCGACAGTTTTGGAGATCGATTCGATGTAAGAAAGCAGAAGATACAATTGATTATAATATCGAAACGATGCAATCAATTATCGTCGAACAAACGCGCCAACGACAATTTAATAAATTTTCATCGAACATTGAGATATTTTAGTAATTATAAATGAATGTCTTTCAATTATCATTCAAATTTTATGTGCCAAATTTTGCTTTTTTTTGCTTTCATATAATTGAAGCCAAAAGTTGGCATTAGCATATCGATTTCTCCTTCTTTTTGTGCAAAACTTATGTTATCATTGTTAATGATAATCATTATTATTGATTAGGCATATGTTAAATTAAAAAGACATAATTATATGCTAATTGCTTGTATTTAATAGTTCAAATGCTGCTAATGAAAATTTTATTATAATCTTTAAAGTTGTTAGTTCGGCAATATTTATAATCAGCGATTAGATTATTGTCTTAATAATTATAATTAATAAATATGGAATTGATTACAGCAATATTTCTTCCATACATTATCAATTGCATACCATTTTAATTTTAAAAAAACAAACAAGTAGATTTTTATTAAGAAAATAATAATAAAGTAATTAAGAATATTTCTTCAACTATAGCTTTTATATTATCAGCATAAATTAGATAACAGTATCGGGATTGTTCACGTGAGATAATGAACTAGTACGGTTATGAATTGACAGATGACATTGGAGATAATCAGTCGGTAAATGATCAATTACACTTATTACACTGATATGATCGTTCCACACTGTGGAAATCTGATAATGAAGTTGGAGATGTTCAGATTGAATGAATGGTCGATTGCATACGATGATTTTAGGGTATGCAGTAGTGATGACAATGGAAATGTTTACATCGAGGGAATGAACAGTTCCACCGAGCATACTGTTATGGTCGTTCGATAGTACGGTAAGTGATTGATCTCAAGTATCATACTGATATTGCCATCCAATGGAAACATTACATTGAAGGAATGAGTAATTGATTTGAACATATCACAGAGATATGATTGTTTGATGATAGGAAAAAAGAAAGATGAGATTGATTATGCAAGCTAATTTCATAGTCCATTGATCTAAAATATGTGTAATTCCGCATATGCTGAAATAAACGATTAGTGCGCTGAATGAATTTGAATTTTTATATTTTAATTAGATGAAAAAGCGAATTTCAACTATTCCCTGTTAATTATTCTCTTCACCAATGAATAATTCATTTATTTCATTTCATTTGTCTGATCTAATTATTTAATAATTTTTGATGCTAAGAATTATCAGAAATAGAGTTAGTCATTTTTTGATTAGTAATTCATTTTTAATTTATTGTATTATTGATTGTAATTTAATCATCTGAATAATCAAAGAGTATAGGAAGAAGTTTATCATATTTAGCTGAATTATTTCTTCTCGGATAACTCTAAAAATTTATTCAAATTCGATTTTTCTTTTAAAGCAACAGTTGATATAAGATAGTTATAATTTATATGTAAGATAGTTATAATATATTTAAGATTACAAAAATATGAAGAAATTTGATAAAAATAATTATGTTACATAACAATAATAGAATATTTCAACTAACTTTAAGTAATTCATATGAAATTAACATATGAAATAACTTATAAAGTAACCATTTTTAAAACTTTTCCTATTTCTAATCTTTAGTTTGTTGAAATAAAATGCATTATTGGAATTGATAAAGAAATTTATGCGATTATTAATTAGTAAATGGTTAACTTCGAAGAAGCGATACATGAAGGACGAATAGGGTAACTATTAAAATAAGGACAAATTTCATATACGGCAAGTCAGATAGCGCTTTTTCTAACTTATCATCTACTTTTCTTTGCTGTTCTGCGATAAGAGATTTCATTATTTCAAATTCTTCAGAAATCTTTTCTACTTCGTCTTTAATTATTCTAATTAACTCTAGTCTACCACCACTATCATTACTATCAATAACTCCAACAGCGCTGCGAGTATCATCAGCATTATATTCAACATCCGCCACTGTCACATTTTTCGTTGGTTGAGAAGATATTGTCAGTTTTTTTGATGAATGAATCTTTTCATGCGATCGTTTTATTTTATCTTCCACTTTTCTTTCTAAAAGAAAATTTTCAAATGAGAATTATATAATATAAAGTTGAAAAAGGTTTGAAGAAAATTTTAGGTAGGTGAAAACAGAGTTACTGTGCTTCAAGAAGGAAAATATATAAGAATAAAGTATAATCTGATTAAATCACCTTCATCATCTTTCTCATCAATATCTGACGATTTATCATCAAATTTAAACATTGATTGTGGCGCATCTTTTATCCCATATAATTCCTCAATTTCACGTTCAATTTTTTCATCATTAATCATTACCTACGATGAAAGTTACTAATTCATTCTTTAATTTGTAACATTTTGATAGACATATTGAATATTAATATTATATAAGAATACCGTGCAATATTTAAGTTAAAGAAAATGAAGAATGGATTTTCGATTTAATAATATCTGTTTGTTAGCTTACTAATGAGAAATTATATTTCGTAATAAGCCTAATTAAGTAAATGTCTATGTTTATTTAATATGTTATTGATTCATTTTTTAATGAACGAGGAAGAAATAATTATAGAAAGTTTCAAATGATCGTTTATACACTAACGAAGCAAATTTAATGCTAACATTTTCTCCTTTTTTCGCTTAGTAAATAGTGGCAGGAAAATTAATAAATCAATAAAGTTAAATAAGAAGTTAAATGAAGAGTAAATTTTGAAAAATTTCAAATTTACTGGTGCCCTTAACTTCTGTCCATGTTGAGTGACAGCTTTCCCTTGTAAATGCGGTGCAATGTCTCTATATGCTACAAGATGGAAATTCTTTTTAAAATTAATAAAGATTTAAATTGATATTTTTTAATTTGATACAATAACAAAGTGCATGGCTACAGCAAGTATAGCTGGCAAGAAATTTCAAATAATAATCGAATCAACTTATCGCAATAGAATATTGATTTCGAATATATTGAACATCTGTTTAACTTTAAAACAGGAAAGGGAAAAAGAAACCTATAACTAGAATTTTGACTTGTCCAACTTCGGCACCTTCCACAAATGGCATCCTGGGATCAAACCCGCTTGGTGCTACGATATATTCCACCACCAGAAAAGTTTTTCCAGGTTTACCTGGCTAATGTATATATCTATATATTACATTTAAGATAAGAAATAAAAGATTGCATTAACAAGAGTGCATTTCGAAATTCTCGAAATGATTCAGAAAGAAGTAATGAACAAATTTGCTCTAAAATAGTGAAAGGTAGCATTTCTTTTAGCAACAAAAAAACTGAAAGTTTTCAGAGTCCGAAATTCCGAACCACAATCAGAATTTAAAACTATCCAGAAATCAAAATCAAGTTCGTAACCATTCAGAATTTACGATCAAAAATTTATAATCAAATTTTAGGAGTTAAAGATTTCCAAAACTTGGATTTATTTAAAATTTATAATCAATAATGCTTAAAATTTTTGTCAAAATACGCATATTTACTTCAATACTTCATACCCGACGTTCCAGAATGATTTGTTTTTTTTGCCCCGATCGCAGGAATCCCATTGGTGGATCGACCTGGGATCAGAAATATTGTTACCATTTATTATTAATAATTAAAATCTTAAAATTAATTATATTTTACCTTTGCATTTTTTCTTCTTTATTATTACTGAAAGCTTTTCTTATATTTAGCCAAAAATAATTTGATAAATTTTTCTTTGAAAAAATAAAACAAAATAAAAGATGAAAATATAATTGGTAAAAAATTTGCTAACATATTTTTGAATATGCAAATTTTTGGTTATGATTGATCAAAAATTGTTTCAGTTTTTTTTCAATTTATTTAAATTACTCGATATAATTGGTAATATTTTTTCTTCAGTCTAACTCTGAAACAGAGACGAGAGGTACCAACACATTCCAATGTATGAGAGGTAAGTCCACCATTACATGGTACCTGCAAATTTCATATTCAATCGAATATTATATTTGTCCTATCAATAATCAATTCAATGAAATCAAAAAGCTGAATAAGACTTAGCAATGAGAGAAAAAAACAGAGAGAGAGAGAGAGAGAGACAGACTGCTAAAAATAGTAATCATATAATAAAATCCAGAATCTATTTCACTGATATTTTCAAATTATGCAAATTATCCCGATATATTTGTAAAATTATTTCAATTAATCGCCGCTAATTGAGAAAAGAAAAAGCGAAAAAAGAAAAATGGGAAAAGAGACTGAAAAAAAATGAAATTCTTAAAATAATTATGAGAAAAGAAATTCTTTTTCATTGGTACAAAAAATTACTGTTAACATTTGAATGATATGATATGATATGATATGATATGATATGACAAGAAATTTGATGATCGAGGAATTCATGTGAAGAATGAACCCGTATGAGTGCCGGTGAAACGATAATATATGACATATCCAATGGAATGAAATTAGTGAGAAGTAGCAACCGTACGTTATTCCTATATGTATGAAATTAAAGTGAAAATAATAAATTTTTCGTTTTAAATAAATTTCTTTTTTTTCATTGTAATAATTAATTACATTGTTTTTTTGGTTCCTTTTTGGTTTTCTTTTTCTTTTTTTTTAAATTTAAAATTAAATAATTCTAATTAAATTTATCGTATATTCTTTTTTTGTATGAAAACAATCAATAGGTAGGTTTGTTGAAAAAGATTTTCATGTTCAAAAATACCAACCAAACATTGGTATTACTACACCATCTCTTCCACTCCCTCTCCTTCTCTCTCTTTCTCTTCCTTTTTCTCTTTCATATTTTCATAATATTGGTACCCCATTTGGTGCATGGTGCACCATTATGAGACACAACAGTGTTGGTGTGTGTACACATAAATAGTATAGCAACAAACACCAACACGTAAACACAGACGCACACACATATACACACACACCAACACACGTGCAGAAACATACATAATAGACACACACATACACATAGATAAATGGATAGACATTTATATGTCGGTGTCAATGGTAGTGCATTGCTGTGATAACACACATCGTGGACTACCGGATAGACGAAGAAGTATGTGTACCCATCCATACACACACATACACAGATATAATAATCGATTGGTACCCTAATGATAGATGGAAGGAAGAGAAGGTGGCCGTGTAATGATGGTAGCTAAAAGAGAAGGTGGCTGTGTAATGGTAGCTGAGGTAGAGAACCGATAGGATAGATAGATTGATAGTAGTGATGGGGTGAGCAGAGAGGCACCTCTTATTACTACCACAGACGGGAAGGAGTAGATGGATGGAACCATACCACAATAACACATTTATTGCTATTTCACCCCTCCTTGTCCATACTACCACCACAACCGATACTATTACTACTACTACCATTGCTACTCTTGCAGCTACTGCTAATGCTACTATTATAATTTCTTTTACTGCCGCTTACTATGAGTATTAATTACATTTTGATTTATATTTCGATTTCAATTTAAACCAAGTTTCACTCATAGTATATTAGAAAATCGTTTTATTTTTAAACTCGCAATGGAATCTCTTTATGTTTAGGTTGGATCTAAAGAAGGAGATGTGATGGTGTCGAAAATTAGGATAAATATTCAACTTGTTAATGTAAAAGATAGGAATAAGATTTAGGTATTATAAGGAGTTTGTTAATTCGGAATTAATATTCAGTTAGTTCCGGGATATGAGACATTCCATGATGTGCTATTGAATTCCATGACATGATATTTGTAATATATGTTGATACCTTCTTCTATCCTTCAACTTATTTAGTAAATCGAGAAAAATTTTTTAACATATCTACTCCACGGATATTTCGGTAATTTTTCGGTTACAAATTCTTCGGTTCAATTTTCTTAATGAAATTCATAATTTGTTAAATACAAATATGAAACAAATAAAAGAACGGAAAGTTTGCTGATGAATGAATGTGTTCGTACAAAGTATATGCAAGTAATATCCTCTAAACAATGTGTCATAAATGTTATACCTTTAATTGATCTAAAATTACTGAACTACGTCATTCAAAAAAGAAGTAAAATTCCCATAGAGAAGAAAAAATATATTTTAAGGTGAATTTTATTTATGGTCTGAGGAGAAAAGTTATTTCTGACAAATAAGAATCCAAATATGTCACTTATGGATGGAGAAACCAGTGATGTCTCAGGTTAATTCTATATTTATTGAATTATTGACATTTTCTGACATATGAATAATTCACGGATATATTTTTGATTTCATGAATTGATTGTAGTAATTAGTCATTGTTTTTATTTGCTATAAGAATTCATTCAGTGATAATAATTAATGTTATCAATAACTTTTTATTATTAATAAAAATACGGTTAATTTCTTTCCTTTTATCTCTTCATCATTTTGAAAGTGCAAAGGAATGTATTTGCATATTTTTTCCTTAATAACGGTCGAAATTTAAGGTGTTTTGTTAAAATCGAAAGCATCATCCCAAAAGGTAGCAGCGGTACGACAGCGTCGTATTAATCGTACGTTTTATTTCTGTTATCGTATTTTAATCTGTATCCTTCGTGGGTAATTCTTCCATCGATAAATCTACCAATGTTAAATTGCTAAATGTGCATAGATAAATTTATTCTGTTTACGTTTTGCGCCGCATGGCATCATTCTGAATGAACTATGAAAAAAAGAGTCTCATCAAAAAAGCGTTTGTATATGTGTTTTTTTAATAGTGTAAGCTGTTAATAATCAAAAACCTTATTAGAAAAAATAAAATCTAATTTTAATAGATCTTGGATAATTCGCTTATTTCGCTGGTAGCTTTTATTATGATTTCATAAAATTTTGCGGATATTTCTTTTATTTCAATCGTTAAAATTGTGCATTTTTCAGCTGCAATCAGTAAAGTATTTGGTGAAGTGTACAATTCACGTGGAAAATTGAATGATATGTATCGTCGGAAAGCTGTTAATTCATTACATATTACGGAATCTGTACCAGAACACATCACACAACTTGATTTCATATCCCTGATTCCCAGCGAACTTCAAACTGATCAGCGGGTCGTTATCGATTTGGTTAAACGTTTATCGGAAGCAGCCCGACATCGACAGAGAATTGCTCGGGCTAATTTCATATATCGTAATGAAGCACAGCGTTTATCAGAAATTTTCCGGTTTGTTATAAGTAATGACATTTCAGTTTTTACAAAATTAAAAAATGAAATATTCAGGTTTTTTTGCTCAATTTTGATTCATTTTTATTTTTATTGATGTCATTTTCTTTCCACATTTGTTTGCAACATTCTTTATTTCGTCATAGAAACAAATACATACTGAATTTGGATTGAATAACGATTTAATAAAGAAATTAACACTTTAAGATAGAAATATATTTAGCTAAGTGAATAGCGATGGTCTAGTTTCGGTACGAACTATGTGATTAGGATTATTTCAGAAAAAATGCTGTTGTTTTGCAACTTTACTGACTGTTTATATTCCAGTGAATGTTCTCATCGTGAAGATCAGTGCGTTAGACTTGCAAAGTTAATCAGTGATGTCCGAAGTGAGCGTCAATGGAAGGGTAGTATGCCAAGTGTGGAATGGTTTTTGCGACGCAAAAAGGGTGTTGTTTCTTCGAAGACTGAAAAAATGGGTTAATTATCTTTAATTCACTCTTTTCTTTTTCTTTCTCGTTTCTTTTTTTGCAAAAAATCTCGCATGCATGACATAATTATCGCTACCTTATAAGAATATTCTCAGTGAATCAAATGTCTGTTTGTAGCTTATTTGCATTTACTTGAAAGAATGATTAAAAGGCAACTTATTTGGAAATAGATTAATTTGTGTTGTGGTGAATAGAAGATATGATGAATCAAATGGTCGTGCTGATCCAATGAAAATTTACTTTGGAATTTTCTTGTTTTTATTTATAACCTAAATGCATTTATTTCTCTATAAATTTGCATTCTTATTTGGGATAATTTCTAATTCTAACTGTTTTTTTTTGTCCAAAATATCGCAAAATATTCCTAAAGAGTTAAATACTGATGATTTCCAAAGCGAATTATAGCTATTGTTGATGGAGTAGTTTTGACAAGTAAATATGCTCGATAACTTTGAGCAACTAAAAGGAAATAATTCATTTACCTTTCTTTATCCCTTCAATCTTGATAAAATGACAAAAAGTGATAGGGAAATACTTGTAAATATTGTTGAGTGATCCATTGATAACTTAACTATATTCTTGTTTCAGATCAACAAGCAGCTGGTCCAGCAGCTCCAAATAAACTTAAACGTTTGTTAGAAATTTCCAAAATTTCAAATGGTGCTGAGGAACAATTGAAAATACCAAAAAGTGTATGTTTTCCAATTTATTTATATCTATTCTTGCTTATTTTTTTATCGATGTTATAACTGTTGACTTACATCACTGCTTATATCAAAAATTTTTGTACATTTTATTATGTTATCATATTCTTGCAAATTAAATAGAGAAAAATTTGCAGGAATATGGCAATATAATAAAATGTAAAAATTTACTGTATAAGTCATCATTTAATGTTGGGATTGTTAATATTTTCAAGGAGTTTGATTTGCTTTCAATTCAGGAATTCGAATCACCCGATGAATCTGGCAGTTATACAGATTATTTGAAACAAGTTTTTTTGAATCCCACTTCCACAGATTTTCCTCACAATGAGAAGCAAGACTTAGAAGCGAAAATTGAACTGGAAACGCCAACACGAACACCTACTACGATGGGAAGTCCAAATGGTGTCAGCACTACGATTATCAGCACCGAAGAATTGCATTTTCCAAGTAGCTCAAATTCGGAATCAGGTTTCCACAAATTTCTTATATTTTTTTCTAATAGAATTATATAATTCAGAGTAGGAAAAACTTCTTCAGGATATTGTATCGATATTTTTCAATAATTTGATCCTTTCTGAACCTGTTATCTCAGGCATGATTTTCGTTCTTCATTTTATATATATTCTAAAAGAAAACATTTACTTTCCATCCATCGTCAGATGAAATTGATTAGTGAAGGTTCAAGAGTGTGTGATACTTGTGAAGTCTAAATCTTTTTCACATTTTCGGTGTGTTTTAACATACACTATTTCAAAGTTGCGAGAAACTTTCTTAATGTCATTTTTTTGGGTATTGAGGTAATAGCTTTTACTATTGGATATGCGAATTATGAACTGGGATTTGTATGAGTGAATTAAATTCGGAAATGCTGCACTGTTTTTCTTTAAAAAAAATTTAATAAAAATATTACAGGCTTACTGGCAAGCGCGATTACGTCACAAACATTACCGAATTCGTTGGATCGAAATATCGCAATTAGGAAATTAGAAACATATTTCAGTCGTAGTACTCCGGATCAAGTACGCCAGTATATGCTGCGATTACGACAAGCTGCTAATCGACGTCTTGCAGAACAGGCAGTTGATTTGATCTCAACATTGAGCAGTGAGGAATGTGCGCAATTTTTAATTGATATTGATAGCGATGGTACTGCTGGCTTTAATTAACTGTCCATGATATTCTTGCGGCATATTGATCCGTTTAAGATTTGTTGCTTTGTACATAAGGTTTGGATTCCGGATGAAGTTCAGCATGCATTAATTGCTTTGAGCATTATTTGCTCTAAAATAGTGTAAGATGCCTAACAAAAGAATTTTCATGCTTTGAGCAATCGATTTTGATAATTCCAGCGCTTTATTCTTGTAAGATACAATATTGCAAATTGCTTTTTATCAAATTAACTTATCGTACATGTTAGTTGTATTTTATCTATAATTGATCATTATTATATTCAGTTAATGCATCATCTGGAATTACTATACAAATGAGAATAAATCTTTCTTCTGATGAATTTATACCTTCCAATAAAGACTATGATGAGATGTTGAAAGGCAATGAAAAAATTATGCCATTATTCAATTAAAGATGTCAAGTAATTTCTCTTTCTCTGAAACTTGAATAAATTATTTTTTCTCTAAGAAATTAGATAGGAAGTTTAGAAAAGTTTCACTTCAAACAAAACTAGGATGTCACAAAACTAGCGATCATAAATTTATTATTAGAGATAAATTGCTTAACTTTTTCACTCTCTGGCATATGGGATTTTCACGTTATATCCTTTTTTTCACTTCCCAGCGAAGTGATCAGATTATTTATGCAAATCCTATTTCAATTCTTGGTTTATTATCACAACATTTCTCTTTTCTCAATAAATGTGAAATCCGTTGAAATATATGCTGAGTTGTATGTGTGTGGTGATCTTCACGGAAGTTGTTTTAAGGATTCAAAAAGTAAATCATGATAATTTAATCTTTCATTGGTGGAAGCTTAAGAGCACATCAACAATTCATTTAGCGAATTTTATGAATTTGTAGAATTCATTGAAAATCATAAGATATAAAATAAATTGCAATGAAAATTATTTGTTTCTCCTCACTGATTCAGATCATAGTCATTTCTTTACAATTGTTGTTGTTTTTATGTTTATGGAAAGAATAAAATTAATGTATATTTCTTTGTTTTATTAAATTATTCCTTCATTGTTTTTGTTCCATTGAATTGATGTATAATTTTCCATTCTCATCGATTTATTCATTTGTTTATGTCATTTTTTCATTCATTCGTTTTCATTTTCTATTGAAAAATACATTGCGATATTTTTCAGTTCAATGTTTTGATCGTTTTATTAAAGGTAAGACAATACTTTTTTAAGACAAAGATGAAATTGTGGTTCTATTTGTTTCATTAAATTTTAAATCAGATAAGATGATATGATAAACAGAACAAGTTAAATTTCTGTCAGTATAACTTTGCTAATAATTGAATAAACGGTTCAATATAGGACCCTCTTTTCAAGACCAGTATAGCTTTCTAATCAACAGAAGATGAATTTAACGGTTAGATCCGGCTTTACCTTTTGAAAGAGAACAAGTTTTCATTATTTGTAGGTATCCGGTAACTGGTCATGATAAACCGATAATTCTATAATTATTTGTTGATTCTGTGATTAAAAATAGATTGAAATTTTTAAAATAATTTATAAATAACTTCCAGGATAGTCATCAATATGCTAATTATCAATGAATGATAATTGATTGAATGCCTTAAAGAAATGCATCATTTCAAAGTTATGTAATGAATATTCAATTGTTCTTTTCAATAGTAAAATTAATACTATCAAAATTTCAAATCTCAAATTTTTATTTAATTTTTTAACTTTTCTGAATTTTTATCGTTCATATTTTTAGAAATTTCGATCAAATTTTCTATTTATTAGTGAAATAATATGGTAAAGAAGAAATTTTTTGATAGTATTATAAAATTTATTTTAGACTTTGTTTATTACATATAATTTATTCATTCAACGATAATATTCATTTCAAGTGACAGTCGAATAAAATATTTATACGGTTTTGATATTACGGAAAACGGATGAGTAGCAAGCAATATGAGATATACGAAAATCAATTCACTTGCTATAAAAGAAAGAAGAAAAAGGATTTTGAAATTATAAAGCGCATATTCAAAATAAGACAAATTATTAATTGAAGTGATAAAAAGTATTAAATTGTTTAGAATATTTATCAGCCAATATAAATATTCAAGAGGTATTAAGTATTAAAGTATTAAATAATTAGTATTAAATTAATAAATATTAAATGATTATGAAACAGTTCAACAATATCGGTGGTATTAATATTAAGGTGAAGTATTAATTATAAGTAAAGTATTAAATAAATATTAAAAAAAATATGAAATATAAAGAAATAAAATTTTCTATCAGCCAAAACATTTAATTGGTTAAATGTTAAATTTTGAAACTTATCACAAAGATTTCTTCGTTAGAAAGTAAGTTTATTCTTTTTTAAATTTTATAATTTTTCTTAAAATTTATAATTTTGTTAAAAATTCCAAGCGAAATGTACTATTACATCAAAAATATACTTTTGATAATAATGTGCTAATATTAGAAATATAATTTTTTTTTTGCTTATAAAATTATATACCTGATAACACTGATATTACTTACATGATAAAATGTTAATTGATATCACTTTTTTTGTTAGATTGTAATAAATATTATTTGTTATGAATGACTGATATCATTTATTTCATATTCTCAAGTACTTATTATTAATATTGTACTTATGTATTGTTGTTATTGCTTATTTGGAGTAATGTTAGATAAGATGTATGTATGAAAACTAACATATATGTGAATAATTAGTAATTACTTAATGGTTGGTATTGGAAGGCTTCTCAAATGATAAATATAGAAGAATATATTAGAATTAATTAATTGCTGTGAAAAAGTATTAAAAAGTAACAGAGAGGATTACAGAGAACATTGTCGAAATTCCACATTCCACAAGAAAAGAAATACTTCATTGTATTTTCGATTCAATTAACTGCCGCGCTGATAAACGAATAGATTTCTTATTCGTATTATTAAAAAAGGAAATTCAATTTTTTAATATCTAATATTTTATGAAATGAAATGCCTTGTTTTAAAGAAATTACAAAATAAATAGGTATATATGGTATCGATCAGAAAGTTAATTAAGTAAAATCAGAATAAGGAGAAGTTTTAAATTTAATAAATTATTTCGTTATCAATTACTTATTCCTGCCTGTAATCAGTCAATCAGGTATGCATGAATAATCAGGAAATCTTGCAANTATCGATCAGAAAGTTAATTAAGTAAAATCAGAATAAGGAGAAGTTTTAAATTTAATAAATTATTTCGTTATCAATTACTTATTCCTGCCTGTAATCAGTCAATCAGGTATGCATGAATAATCAGGAAATCTTGCAATGCTATTAGTTATACCTTTCAATTAAGATTATTTATGAATTGTTATGTTCAATTTACTTTTAGCAAATTCAATTCATTTTAGTAAATGCAATAAATTGAGTTTATAAATAAATATTTCATCGTTTTCTTTAATTTACCTTGTACTTCGCTTGCTGTATGCAAAATTTGTTCAAAAATGAAATCATAAATGGAAAGAAGAAAATGACAAATTTACGACATAATTCAAAATTGATCTTAGAACATTTTTATGATAACTCTCAAAGAGCAATGAAATATGATTGTATCATAGTTTCAAACATTCAATAAAACTATTATTTATCCAAAAGGAAAAGATATTATTTGAGAATGAATAAATGAAATTAGTAATAGTCTGCGAGAAATTTCATACTTTGCTCTTCGCTGTAATAGTTATTGTATCAAAAAGTATTATCAAAGAAAGCATTAAAATTAT